AGAAATCCTTCATTATGGAAAAAATGTATTTCTATTCATACTCGGCATGTACCAAAATTGAAGAAAAAAGCCAGAGCGGTTTCAGAGATATTGGGGAATAACTGATTTTTTTGTTAAATTTCAACATCCTGTATCTCAGAAACGAAGCTGTTACGGACCTATGTTCACATGAAAAATTTTTCTTAAAATCATCCAAGGCATATCGCCCTTTAGGATCAGCATTCAATTATGAAACACCCTGTATATTGCTATAATCATGGAGTGAAAAACTTTTTTTCGTGCATCAGATTGAAAAAATTGTGGTGATCGAATTTGCTTAAAAATGATTGGGAATTTCAGGAATTATTTCACTTTTGAGATTAATCAGTGGCGTACCATAAATGTCTGCCAAAATAGGTATGTGAAATTTCATATACGACGCCACTGGTGGCAACCAAAAAAAAGTGGTACACTAACTGATGCCTCTTGATACATAGTACATGTATGCCAAATTTTATCAGAATATCTGAAGTGGTATTACAGATATTAATGAAAAACCCACAACCACCCTGTATCTCAAAAGTTAGGACGTTTAGGTCATACCTACTTTCATATGAAACTTTCTTCGTAGAATAGGCCCAAGAATATCGCCTCTCCAAATATTGACATCCAGTTATAAAACACCCTGTATGCAGGAGACGTGGAGATTTCTTTCTTACCATATGATGGGTAGTAGTAACTATTGTAGTAGCTGTAAGCAGGGTATCCGTAAGAACTGTAAGCCAACCATTGGGGATTCGGATTCGGTCCTGGAATTGGTGCTGGGGCCGAAAAACACATCGCAGCAAAAGAAAATGCGATGAAAAGCTATAAAGAATGACGAATTCAATTTCAATAAAATGAGAAGGTACATGGTCATCACGTATATATTTTGAACCCCCCCTTAACTATTTTATTTATCATCGATTTTTTTTTCCAAAGAACAATCTTTCATAATTTTTCCTGTAGATTTTGAATATGTTAGCAGAAAAACAATTGAAGATCTCAAAAAAAAGTTATGGGCAAGATGTATAAATTTTTAAATGGAACACCCTGTATTTTATTGCATTTTCAGATTCTCCCTGAAGAGCTGATTTCATCGAACTATCACAGTTGGGGTCTAGCTGAAATGATTATAGGGTGTACAAAATTGGCACATACAGGGTGATCAGAGTTCTGAATTATGAACCACCCTGTAATCGTTTCAATTAAATGTCAGTAGACGATAAATCAAAAGTTAAGACATGGACATTTTGGCCAATAATGGATAGTTACACAAAAAATTCCTAAAGTTGAAAAAAATCTAAATTTTTCACACCCTATATCTCTGTAATCATTTCAGCTAGACACCAACTGTGATATATCGATGGAATCAGCTCTTCAGGGAGAATCTAAAGATGCAATAAAATACAGGGTGTTTTATTCAAAAATGTATACATCTTGCCCATAACTTGTTTTTGAGATGTTCAATTGTTTTTCTGTTAACATATTCAAAATCTACAGGAAAAATTATAAGACTGTTCTTTGGAAAAAAAAATCGATGATGAATAAAATAGTAAAGGGGGATTCGAAATATACGTGAATTGGCAACACTGCATTGTCGGAAATATTGTTGATGAAGAGAGCGTATTCTGAAATATAAGCATGCACTTTTCAGATACCCTGTATATTCGATTCGCTTAGAATTTTTTGTTCTCTTCTTTTAGAAGGTAACTTTGAACGATAAATGATTTCAAAAATTTTCCTTAAATGAAAAGCCACCATAATGGAAAATTAAAGAGGCAACTGAAATACTGGATTGAAATGAATAACTGACATAAAAAATCAAATCTACCAATTGTTTCGTGAAGAAGGAGTGTAGTTATACTTACCACGAAAAGCATATTTTTTCTGAAACACATTTTTACTGAACACTTGAACGTCAACTGAAGTTATATCACGAAAAAACAAACATTTTTATCGCTTCATCATCCTTTATATAAAATCATAATTTTCAATCAGTATGTCAAGCACATTACTTTTGAAAGTAAAAATGTGCATTGGAATTTCCAAACATCATTATATTGATAATTATGTCTATCTGTTGCAGCGGATCTGCAGCAAAGATATTTTTAAGGAGAGGTGTCGTAACATCATTTTAATTCCAATTAGGTTTGCTTCCTTTTGTTATTATCACCTTGGACATATGGAAATGTCTATATGAGATGATCTGAATTATTAAATAGAATGAGAGGAGAATTTTTGTGATCATGTCCTACATCAACAACTAGCAACTGTCATTCACATTGATTTGCGCTCTTTTTTATTTATGTTCTGGTTCCCACGAAATGGGATATCCTGTAAATGTTCAGAGAACATCGTGAGAACCAAGGGAAATAAGGTAGGAATTGGTGTTCTTCTTGAATTTCTGAAGGTTATATGCCTCGGAGAACACTTTCCTTGGCAATGTGTTCCAGAACCTCGCTGTTCGTTGGATGAATGAGTCTTTGGAAAGAGATGCTCTGCAGGTCTCCAAAGTGACCACGAAGGGGTGCGAAGCCTCAACTCGACGGGTTGATCTCGCGGGGACTGTCAAGGGAGGTATACAATTGTTGATATTTCAGAAGAGCATCGTCCATGAAAATATCTATATAATAGAGCCAGATCGCCAACTTTTCTACGGTGTTCCAGAGAAGTGAGTAATTTTGTGAGCGAGGCATCACCCACGAGACGAATTTCTCTTTTCTGGACAGAATCCAACATTTTCAGGGTATGTTTGGGAGCTGCACTCCAAATATACGAACAGTAATCCAGGACAGGTCGGATCTGTGCCTTATAGATCATAAGCAGCTGACTGGAAGTGAAATAGCTCCTGGCCCGAAACAGAAAACCAAGTTTTTGGGATGCACTCATAGCAATTGATCTCACGTGATTTTCCCAAGAAAGGTTATTGCTGATAGTAATCCCAAGCATCGAAATGGGTGTCTTCAAAGGTATGGTTACTCCTGACAACCTTATGTTGGGCACAGTGAGATCGGCTTTCCTAGAGAAAATGCATGCTTGTGTTTTGTTTGCATTGAAATCTACCAAGTTATTGGATCCCCATTCGAGAATTGTTGCCAAGTCCATATATTTATGTTGTCATTCCAGTAGAATAATGTAACCATGTTTTATTCATAAAAAATAATTCGCTTATTCCCCTTTTGCAGAATTCAGAATCTTGATCACCCGGTATATGTCCCAATTGAATATCAGTAGATAGTTAATCAAAAGTTGAGATAGGGATATGTAAGCCGTTTTGACCAATAATGAATAGTTTCGACAAAAAAAATTCGAAGTTGAAAAACGACGATTTTTCACACCCTATATCTCTGTAATCATTTCCGCTAGACCCCAAGTGTGATACATCGATGAAATCAGCTCTTCAGAGAGAATCTGAAAATGCAATAAAATACAGGGTGTTCCATTCAAAATAACAAAGTTGTTGGTACTTTTCGATAGAAGCGGCAACGCCGCAGAGCTGAAAATATTTTAGATCGATAGACCAAGAGCAACTACGTGAGTAACCAAAATGTCAGAATGATCCTATGTCCCGTTCTCCATAAACGTCTAACGTACCATGGACCGTGAGTTACCCTGTATGAATAGCTATAATAACTCTGAAATTTTTTCCAGAGGTGGGCCGGTAGGGTTCCATTCGCCCGGGCCGATTCAAACGTTCAGTCCGCCCCTGCTTTCAGGACTAAGATAAGAATACGGGACATCTCGCGAGCGATTCAGAATCTGAGGAAACGCGTGGAATTGGATTTAGAAGTGGAAGGTGATATTCGAGCATCTTTTATAACTTAGTTTTGTTTTGTTTTCCGAAGAATAAACTTCTAGCTCATTACGTCGTTCCTAATTCAAAACCATAGTTTTCAAGTAGATGAGCTTGACGAATATGTGAAGGTTCCAGATCCAAATTCAAATAAACTGTCGAAATTTATCTTGTTAAACAAAACTGTTGGCATCCTTTCCAGAGCACTCTTCGCAAAATTGTTTTCCCCAATTTTGATCAACAGGAAAGATTCGATCATATCGTGTGAAACATCATTGTAATCAGAAAAAAAATACTTCAAAAATGCCAAAATCCAATATGGCGTCCATAAGAGAAAACAAAGTTGTGTGTTGTAACTTTGGCATCAAGATCGTCATGGAAAATACAATAGGTGCGTTTTTTTTTGGTTTCCCACTGGTGGCAGTAGAATTGACGACCAATGAAACGATCTGGGACCGATTTATTTTGAGAGTTGTGACATTCAGCTGATCTTTTTTAGGTTATATAATACTAATCTAATAATCTTCTCGCTTTCTTGTTATCCTGTTGGTGCATCGCGGTTAGAAGGCAAAATACATTGATATTTATCGATGAAATTGACACCTAAGTAATTTCAGGAGTCCAGAAATATTTGAAAGCTTGCTGGGTAGAATTGCGAACAATTCCAAAATATTTCCTGAGGCGTTTCACTTTCAGGCAATTTTTTAGTCAGATTTTGAGGTTAGAGTATCTGAAATACCGCCATTTCATAAACTCCCTCCACTGTCATTCCACAGGAGAATACGGAATGTAAAGTTGGAATCAGTTTCAGAATTTCGTTCAATAAAACGACATGATAGATTCAGATTCATTGTAAATAAAGTGCCTTAAGAATGTCCCAGTCAGAATAAACGTCTAGTCACATACTTTTTCTCATTTTCGTATTCAAAGTCACACACTTTTTCTCATTTATTGTGTTTTACTAAACCATTTAATCTATTATTTAAAATCACACCATTTTCCTTATTTTCGTATTTTGTTAAACTTATTATAGAATTGAGTAGAACCAATTAATTTATAGTATTATAGTTTTATCTTGGGTTTTATTATCGTATTTTAAGATTTTTTTATCATTTCCCGCAATGATTAAAACATGATGTGATTCAATTTCCTAATAAAAGGAGGTTCAAATAAAAGAATCGGCATTTTATTCAATAACTTTATACACAAATAAAGATATTTTGACAACATTTAGCACAGACAGAAAATAGTTTTCAGCATTTTCAATATCATTTCTTTTGAATCTTCTTAGGATTTCTGTTAGATCTAAACAATCAATAAAGTTTTTCCAGTGACGAAGAATAGGGAAAATTCACCCTATTTTCAATCGCTCCACTGAGATTTCTCAACAACAATTAGAAAAATAAATTTATGAGAATATTAACACTAAGTGAAAATTGTCAGTTCATGATCACAGCTCTAATTATTATTTCTATTCAATCCGAATTTCTCCATTTCTACCATTAGCGCCGACCTATAGGATTCATATCTCATGACGATATTTTGTAATTCCTGTTTGTACAGTCTCGTCAACATGGCATTGTAGCACTCCAGCTCTGAAAGTCTGAACATGTCCCACCTGAAATGAAAAATCCTGTCAATTTAACAAATATGCCTAGTCTAAATTGCATTTTCTATTTCCGACCCCTCCGAAAATTAATTTGTACGCTCCTGAAGTCGTCATGTCGTCATTTCATGGTGCCAAATAAATTCGACATTTTCTGCCTTTTGTTGCCTCCAAGAAAAAATATTGGGTACGCCTCTGGAGTCGCAATTATTTATTTTCGTTATTTTAATATTCATCATCATCCTATTTTTTTCATTATATTGACCCCTCAAAAATATAATAATTATATTGTTGATCCAGTGGTGCACCCCATTTGATTCTTGAGAGATCACAAAGAGAATAAAAAAAATATCAATCCAGAGGCGTACTAATTTTTATTGTGGATCGGAAAATTGAAATTACGATTATAGAGGGGTCCATTTTTTCTGAGGGTATCAATAATAAGAGATGCAGAATATTGGAATCATTGAAAATTGCGGCGACAGGGGCGTACCCAATTTTTTTTCTCAGGGCATCAAAAATAAAAAATGGCTGAATTTTTCAATCTCTCCAACGCCATCCGAATGAAAAGAAAAATGCGACTTCAGGGGTGTACGAATTTTTTTCTGAGTGGGTCGAAAATGAAAAATTTTGAAAAAACCGGAATTCTTCCAACACCATCAGAATAATAATAAAAATGCGAATCCAGGGGCGTACCCATTGTTTTGTATAGGGGTCAAAAATGAAGTGTCGAATTTTTTTCAACGGCATCCACGTAGAAAAGGTAAAAATAACTTCAGGTTAATAATAAATAAGAAAGCGACTTCAGTGGCGTACCAAGAAATTGATAAAGGGGTCAGAAATGATGAAAAAAAATCTAAAACACCAAAATTACTTCAGCCCCATCCGAATACAAAATAAAATTGCAACTCCAGAGGCGTACAATTTTTTTTCTGTGGGGTACTAAATGAAAATATTGGAATTTCGAAATAGTTTCAACGTCATCTGAATAAAGAATGAAATCGTGACTTCAGCAGAGACGATTACAGGTAATTTATAATTTAGAAATAACTGATGCAGAAAATGAAAGATCACATCAGGGGCGTACCGATTTTTTTATGAGGGGTATCAAAATGAAAAAATGCAGGGATTTCGAAATTTTCTCAACTCCTATTAGATCAGAATGTGAATTGAAAATGCGACTTCAGGGGCGTACAATTTTTTCTAAGGGGGTCAAAAGTGAAAAAAATCGGGAACATCGAAATCTGTTCAATGCCATCCGAATAGAAAAGAAGCGACTTCAGTGGCGTACCAAACATTTTTCTAGAGGGTCAAAATAAAATAAAAATAAAAATCAAGAATTCTTCAATACCAACCGAATTAGCATTGAAAAATGTGATTCCAGTGGCGTACCAAAAAATTTTTTTGAGGGGTATAAAATTGAAAAAATTTCAAAAAATCCACTGACCTCAGTTTGTGGTCCAGCTCGGGACTGGTCTTGAAATAGACGTTCAACCAGTGCGGTATCTCTTCCAAAAGGTACGGATTCGCCGGTACCAACACACCGTGTGCCTGCTGCTGATGATGGTACGACTCAGTGGTCGGGGCGTACCCGAACGTGAATTAAAAATGCGACTTCAGGGGCGTACATTTTTTTTTCTATGGGGGTCAAAAGTGAAAAATATCGGAAACATCGAAATCTTTTCGATGCCACCCGAATAGAAAATGAAGCGACTTCAGTGGCGTACCAAAAATTTTTCTAGAGGGTCAAAATAAAAAATTAAAATCGAGAATTCTTCAACGCCAACCAAATTAGAATTAAAAATTGGGATTCCAGGGGAGTACAAAATTTTTTTTTGAGGGGTTACAAATTGAAACAAATTTCAAAAAATCCACTGACCTCAGTTTGTGGTCCAGCTCGGGACTGGTCTTGAAATAGACGTTCAACCAGTGTGGTATCTCTTCCAAAAGGTACGGATTCGCCGGTACCAACACACCGTGCGCTTGTTGCTGGTGATGGTAAGACTCAGTGGTCGGGCATACCCAAAAGTGAATTAAAAATGCGACTTCAGGGGCGTACAATTTTTTTTTCTATGGGGTCAAAAGTGAAAAATATCGGAAACATCGAAATCTTTTCGATGCCACCCGAATAGAAAAGAAGCGACTTCAGTGGCGTACCGAACATTTTTCTAGAGGGTCAAAATAAAAAAAATAAAAATCGAGAATTCTTCAACGCCAACCGAATTAGAATTAAAAAATGGGATTCCAGAGGAGTACAAAAATTTTTTTTCAGGGGTTTGAAATTGAAAAAAATTTCAAAAAATCCACTGACCTCAGTTTGTGGTCCAGCTCGGGACTGGTCTTGAAATAGACGTTCAACCAGTGCGGTATCTCTTCCAAAAGGTACGGATTCGCCGGTACCAACACTCCGTGCGCCTGCTGCTGATGATAGTACGACTCAGTGGTCGGGGCGTACCCGAATGTGAATTAAAAATGCGACTTCAGGGGCGTACAATTTTTTTCTATGGGGGTCAAAAGTGAAAAATATCGGAAACATCGAAATCTTTTCGATGCCACCCGAATAGAAAATGAAGCGACTTCAGTGGCGTACCAAAAATTTTTCTAGAGGGTCAAAATAAAAAATAAAAATCGAGAATTCTTCGACGCCAACCGAATTAGAATTAAAAAATGGGATTCCAGGGGCGTACCAAATTTTTTTTTGAGGGGTTACAAATTGAAAAAAATTCAAAAAATCTACTGACCTCAGTTTGTGGTCCAGCTCGGGACTGGTCTTGAAATAGACGTTCAACCAGTGCGGTATCTCTTCCAAAAGGTACGGATTCGCCGGTACCAACACACCGTGCGCCTGCTGCTGATGATGGTACGACTCGGTGGTCGGGGCGTACCCGAAACAAGGTACCAAACACGGATGCTCGTATTGGGCACGTCTCGTCACGTGATTGACGTAGTAGACGCCGTAGAGGGGGGACTGGACGCACTGCCACCCCTCCGGCAGACCTTCCCTCTCGAGGGGATGCGACCAGTGGGTGGTTTTGGTGTTGTGGTCGATGTAGTACTTGCGCCCTCTGAGGGTGTAATCGACGGACCAGCCGGGCGGTAGGGGAAGTTCTTCGGGTTGGTCTTGGGTGGTGGGGGTGGTTTCCAGCCTGGTAAAATGGGAATTCCAGAAAGTTTTAGGAATTTCATGGAATTTTGACCTCAAATTTTGAGTAGATATGAACAATTTCTAGAAATTCTTGAAAATTCTATAGAATATCACACAAAATTTCAAAATTTCAATGAAAAATTTTGAGAAATTCCATGGAATTCTGGAAAATCACAAGGGAATCTAAATATGTCAATGGTTTTGAAAGATTTTCTCATAATTTGAGCATTTCCAAGTTTCCTGAGATTTCCAAGAAATCCTGAGACATTTCAAAGAATTTCAGGGAGTTTCAAAAACATCCATGGAATTACAGAATATTTCATGAAAATGAAAATTGGTGAGAATTTCATGTGATTCTCATTACCAAAGAATTTCAAAGGATTCAAATTCAAAAGAATTCCAATGAATGATCTCAAGTATTTCAAGAGAATCTAATTTTCTGGAAATTTCAATGAATTCTGTAGAATTCCAAAAAAATTTGAAGAATTTCATGTATTTCCAAGATTTGAGTAAATAATTCCAAGGTATTCCAAGTTCTGGGAAGTTACAAGGAAATCTCAATCTCCACAAGACTATTTCAGAATATCCAAGGAAATCTAAATTGTTCAAGGAATTTCATGATATTCTAAAGAACTCTAGGAGATTCCAAAGTTCCAAAGACAGCCAAGGAAATCTAAAGTATTTCAAGAGAATACAAATAATTTCATGACATTTGTAAACATTGTATATAATCCAAGGAATTACAAAAAATTTCAAGAAAATTAAAATTGGTGAGAATTTCATGTGATTCTCTTTTCCAAAGAACTGAAAAAAATTCCCAATAATCCCAAATAACATCAAAATATTTTTCAAAGGATTCAAATATAAAAAAGAATTTCAATGAATGATCTCAAGTATTTCAAGAAAACTTCAATCATTTTCTGGGAACTCCAATGCATTCTGTTGAATTCCAAGGAATCTTGAGGAATTTTATGTACTTCCAAGATTTGAATGAAGAATTTCAAGGTATTCTAAGTTCTGGGAAGTTACAAGGAAATCTCAATCTCCACAAGACTATTTCAGGATATCCAAGGAAATCTAAATTGTTCAAGGAATTCCAAGATATTTCAAAGAACTCTAGGAGATTCCAAAGTTCAAAAGACAGCCAAGGAAATCTAAAGTATTTCAAGAGAATACAAATAATTTCAAAACATTTGTAAAAATTGTATGTAATTCCTATAATTCTCAATGAACTTTGAGGGTTTCAACATAGTTCCAATGCTGTGGTTATCACATAATTCCAATATTTCAAAGAATTCCAAAGGGTCCAAAGGAATCCAAAACAACTCCAAGGAATAATCTCTAGTATTTCGAAAAAATCACTAGAGTTTCTAGGAACTTCAATAAATTTAAAGACATTCCAAGGAATTCCTGAAAGTAAGAAAATAATTTCAAAGAATGACAAAAAGCCTCAGGTAATCAATCCCAAACAATTCAAAGTAATTTTTAAGAGGATTATGAATAGAATTTATGAGAATTACATATATATTGCTGAGAAAATTAAAGAATTTTAGATTTAATAATAATGAGATCACATTTTTTACCTGACTAATCTACTGTCTATCACATTACCTTCCCAAACTATGTCTTTGATGTGTCACAGAATCAACATAAGGGATATTCTGGTTAGAACTCCTGTACCTGTCAATACCAAACACAGGGATACTATCTCTTCCAGTAAGGTTTACAATATTCTTCCCTGCATTCTGGTAAATGGGACAGTTGGTTTTATTGTACTCCAAATCCCTGTAACTACTGTCTTGCACTAAAGGATAAATCTGATCTATGTCCACATAATTGGCATTGCTGGCAGAATCCTCATAATTGTTCACATGGTGGTTCACATACACAGGTTGTGAGGAAGTGATGCTGGGATTATTGAAATTAGTACCTTCATTTGAAGTGCCCACTGAGAGGTTGGCAAATCTTGTGGCCAAATCAGGCACAGAAGCACTAGGAGTGTACTTTCCTTCGTGGGCTCCTAGGCCCACATCGCTAATCAGAGTTTTCTGGTTGCCGAATTTTTGCACTGTGTTTTGAGAGGAAGAGGGTATGGTGTTGGTTTGAGTTAAAGAAGATCTGTTCTGGGTGGAATAGCGTCTTTTAGGTTCGGTCGTCCAAACGTTTATTATTGGCATTTCGGGGGGTGTATCTTTTTTGACGTACTTGCCGACGACTCCTTCTTTGATTGTTCGAAGATCTTTGTTTTTCCTTGATAACATCTTGGGATGGTGTAGTGTGTTTTGGAAATCAAACGCTTGCATTCAGGAACGCTGTTTGTGGATAGCATAATAATACTGATCGCTTTGACTGAATACTTCCAATATTTTGGGTAAAGAAGTTGTTATGAAACTATGAGTTATGAGTAAAAATGTAAAAATAAAACCTTTGTTTACATGAAAAAATAACCAATAACCAATAAACTTTTCAGAATGACAGACATGATGACAGATTGACGGATGAAATTTCAGTGCACGAAAAGTGTAGCACTGTTCGACACTTCGTGTAGTTTGCCAATATACGCAGTGAGCAAGATCGCAGAGAAGTGCCTAAATCTTTCGAACCATTCCCATCACGTGATATTGGTCCACTAACAATCACTGTGATCATTTGTGAAGTGATTGTGGCTTCCAAGGATGTTTTTCCTTCCTCTGAAGACCCCGAGGCTGTCGTTATTAATTTTTACTAGCGAATGCGCATGCGTCCATATGGTGGTGGTATCACGTGATTCACTGTGACCAATCTGGTAATGAGGTTTGGGAATGGTTCAAAAATTTTAGGCTTTCGTGATCGCAGTGAGTGCCATGCCATGCCATCAGTTCTACCAACCTAGAGCATAGCCAACACTTGGTTCTTTTGGTGTTGAAATCACCAAATAAAACGAGGGAATTCCATATAGCTCGTCGATTTTTGAGGTTTGTGCCGCAAATGCCGGTAAATAGTTGTAGATTGTTGAAGTCGTTGAGGTGTTTTTTGGGAAATAATGGGATTATTTCCATTGATAATGTTTGAAAATATACAGAAAGAACAAGATGATAGGGGTAAGATTCATGTTGACATTTTACCAAGTTATGACAGTTTTGAGAAACATTTTGGCAAATGAAAATTTGTGTGATAGTTTCCATTTATTTGGCCATATTTCTCATTGTATATCTCATCACAGTTGGATTTCTTCTTTACGTTTACAATCTCTTGGCTGAAGACTTTTGAAATACCATTCCAACTCAAGTGGCCTAAAAATGAGCCATGAACTTGAAAATGATCACTTGGAATCCGGTGTGTCTAGGTAACAAAACAAGTGCTCAATTGTTTGGTTTGATTTTTCTTTTTAGTTTTTTGGCATGTTCAAAAAGACCATCAAATTTTGTGAAGTAATCTAAGGTAATTATAATGATGTTATGTTGAACTCAGATATAAATTCATTCAACGAATTTTCAGTGTTTGGGATTTGAAAACAGAAATTATCTAATGCCAGTTTGGATAAGCAGCTTTTGGAACATCTAAAATTGAAAGCAAAATGGAGAATGGTGTTGATGGTGAGCAAGACGAAAATCGTGAGTCATGTATATAACTGTACTGATTAATCATCAGTAATTTTTATTCATCTTTGTATATATAATAAATAGCACCTGTTCATTGTCCATCTAGATGGAAGAGATACTTACTAGCAAACTAGCTTGCCCATTCAGATTGACAATGACTTCTGGTAATTTCCACTCATTTTTCTATAGTTTTTGGCTGTCTTAATATTTAGTTTCAGCCTATTGATCAATGGTAATTCATTTTGGTTTTGAGGTAAGTAGGTAACTATAATATACAAGTTGTGATATGGCATATAAAGAGATTTGATCCTATAAATTAAATAGGTAGATATAGGTACTATATCTTCTATTATACATAGCTTCTGAAGAAGCTTGTTTTCACATGCATATCTCAATGCATATTATAAGTTGAACAATTTTGACTATAGACTATGAATATTTGAAAGGATCACAATATTTTATTATTTTTCCCATAGGTTTCACTCTAGTTCATATTGGCATGCTATCTACCATGTCAAATCATGAAGAAAACTATAAATGTTTCAGATATTTCATTTTTTATTTAGTGTAAAATCTTAACAAAACTAGTCATTCATAACATCAAAATCTTCATTTATTCTAGTACAACTATAATATATAACATATTTGTATAAAAAAAGATAGAAAAAGTGACATTCACTTGGACGGTACACTGCTTAAAATTGAAAGAACAAATATCAGGATTTTGTACTACACTTTTTTAGAGAGTTTTTTCAAAACATAATTTCAAAAGTGCAATTATTGAGATTGCTCATTCTTGAGATAATTGAACAATTGTACTTCAACTAATCATATCTGATTCTTATCAGACTTTGTAATTGCTTATTAAGTAGGTATATATATATTCATTTAAAATTACAATTTACAATGTAATGGAAACCTATTAGGTATCTACAATCATTTATAATTGACTGTTGTCACACATAACAAATGCTTAAAACATTATATAAAAACAGAGTAAAAAATTAATAAAAGTACATATTTGGACGGTTTCATTACAATAAAAACAAATATTAAAAAAATTTGTTTGTCAAAGGCACATATATCTCTCGATTAGGCCCTCAGATCTATACAGGGTGTTTTGAAATTCAACTGACAATGCTTCACAGGTAATAACTTATGATTTGATGTGCAATGAGATATGATTTCCTCAAAGGCACAGTTCTCTAGATGCAAATTATTGAGAAATTAACATTGTTTTCACCAAATAGAATAATGTGAAAATCTAGGTGAAAATTGTCTGGAGACTGAAGTGGTTGAAAGTCCTTATTTCATCGTCCCTATGGTGAAAATTAATTCTTGCTATTGCTTTATTACGTCATCAGAAGCTGACGTTTTTCAAAGGTGCGGATTTTTCATTGAAGAAAGTATTGGCAATGATTTTGAATATACAGGGTGATTCAGGTTTTAGAGCACAAACTGAAATGGGAGGTAGATCTCATCATTTTAATCAGAAAAGTTCATATATACATCAGTTCGATCTCGTTCAGTAGCGGAGCTACAGGGGGTCAAAGTTCAATTATTTTTTTCTATTAATTCAAATATCTCGCTTACTTTTCAAGATATCATTTTAAAATTTGGTGTGGTCGATACTATTTAGAATGTCATCATTTCAAGCCATTTTAAGATTCTCAAAATCTACAGGGTGATACGGTTTTGGGGGTAGAGGCTTCTTTATCCCCCCCAAACTTTTTCGTAGTACACCTACACTTCTAGCATCTTCTTGTCATCAAATTGTGTGGATCGTTCAATTTAGAGGCTTTTTTGTCCTTCAATTTTTTTCGAGAATCGAACTGTTTTTGAGATAATTGAGCATATATGTTCCGAAACATGTTAATTTTGCCTATGTTTCGCTTAAATTTCATTAAACTGAAAAAAAACTTGACTTTCTACCCTCCGCATTCCCGTAACTGATCCAGATTGGACTAGTGATTGCAATTTTAGTGAGTACATTTCATTGTGTTCTCCACGAATTTTGTCTAAGAATAATTTATGCGAAACATAGGCAAAATTAACATGTCTTAGAACGTATATGCTCATTTATCTCAAAAACGGTTCGCTTTCTCGAAAAGAATTAGGAAGCAAAAAAGCCTCAAAATTGAACTATCCACACAATTTGATCAGTGAAAGATGCCAGAGGCGTGCGACGAAAAATTTTTGGGGGTTAAAGAAGCCTCTACCCACAAAAACCTATCACCCTGTAGATTTTGAAAATCTTCAAATAGCTTGAAATGATGATCTTCTAGGAAGTATTGGCCACACCAAATTTCAAAATGAAATCTCAAGAAGAAAGCGAGATATTTCAATTAGGTAATAGAACAAAATTATTGAACTTTGACCCGCTTCTGGACGAGATCGAACTAATGTTTATATGAACTTATCCGATTGAAATGATGAGATCTATCTCCTATTACAGTTTGTGCCTCAAAACCTGAATCGCCTTGTAGAATGATTGCATCAAATACTTATACAGGGTTTCCCAAAAGAACCGGAACGGCCGAATATTTCAGCAACGGCTTGACATAAAATCATGAAATTTGGTATACGGGGGTAATCAGTTGTGCCGGATCTAAAAATAATATTTGCAACGTTGCCAGTTTTACAGTTTTTCCTATAGAGCCCTCAACTTTATTTTTTTAAATGTAATGCTATGTTTATTTTTAGCGCATTCGATTTGTCGTCTCAAAACTACTATGACCCTATAATATCAAATTTGTATTCCCTTCATTTTTGTTGTTACTACATGTGTTTTGTGAATTTTTCGAATTTGCAAGTATACCTACATATGATGAACTGTTGATAAATGATTTTTATTTATTGACTTATAGAATGAACTCGAAATAATCTAGAGTTGAATGTAAATGTCATTTGACCTATAAACGTCAAAAAATGTCCAGTGAAATTTCATGCTTTGTCCCGCAAGAAGGACGAAAAAAATTCCAAGAAATTTGTTTAGTTGCAAAGGCAAAGATTAGAAATACAGGTTTTAGATTGATCGAAAATGTTTGGTGTGAAATTTTCGAGATGTAATTTCACGTTAGTCAATGAAGCATTATAGGTCAAATTCCAAAATCGATGTTTTTTCACGATTTATTTTCTTGTTTCCTACGTATTTCTGTCTGAAAACCACGTATTTCATAATGAAAAAGTAGTGAAACCACTCATCGAGATATTTCACAAACAAGTTTGAAGTTTCCATCGCATGATAGTGCAAAATTACCATCAATTCTTGATCGTCATCGAAGAAAATTTGCTCTACCTAACCCTGTAAAGCCCGTAACTGACAATTACCAACAAAAATACCATCACCAATCCAGTTTTGACGTTTGTAGCGCCTGCAAATCGGCATTTGAACATGTTGAAACGCGTCAGATTGTCGTCGACCAGATTGCTGAATTCAGCTTCGACCACTTGTTCGTCGTAGTAGGTGATGGGAAATGTCTGTGTCTTTAGATATCTTCATGTCAACAGCAAAATCAGTAGGATATCAATAGCCATGAAGTGGCATACTTGATTTTCTTTTTTATTATTTGTTGAATTTTCGAGATGTTATTTCTCATTAGTCAGTGAAGCATTATGGGTCGAATTCCAACAATCCAACAATGATCATTTTGGTGATTCAGCACTTATGCGATGTTTGTTTTTCGTATTTTTTCAATGTTACCGACATATTTTTGTCTGAAAACCACGTGTTTCATATTGAAAAAATGGAGAAACCACTATTTATCGAGATATTTCCATCAATTCTTGATCGCCATCGATAAAAATCAGCTCTACCTAACCCGGTAAAGCTCGTAGCTAACAATTACCAACAAAAATACCATCATCAGCCCAGTTTTCACGTTTATAGTGCCGGCCAAATGGCATTTGAACGTGTTGAAACGCGTCAGATTGTCGTCTACTAGATTGTTAAACTCAGTTTCGACAACTTGTCCGTCGTAGTAGGTGATGGAAAATGTCTGTGTCTTCAGATATCTTTATGTCGACAGCAAAATCACTAGGATATCAATAGCCATGAAGTGGCATACTTGATTTTCTTTTTTATTTTTTGTTGAATTTTCGAGATGTAGTTTCTCGTTAGTCAGTGAAGCATTATGGGTCGAATTCCAACAATGATCATTTTGGTGATTCAGCACTTATGCGATGTTTGTTTTTCGTATTTTTTCAATGTTACCGACATATTTTTGTCTGAAAACCACGTATTTCATATTGAAAAAATGCAGAAACCACTATTTATCGAGATATTTCCATCAATTCTTCATCGTCATCGATAAAAATCAGCTCTACCTAACCCGGTAAAGCCCGTAACTAACAATTACCAACAAAAATACCATCACCAAACCAGTTTTAACGTTTATGGTGCCTGCCAAACGGCATTTGAACATGTTGAAACGCGTCAGATTGTCGTCTACTAGATTGTTAAACTCAGTTTCGACCACTTGTCCGTCGTAGTAGGTGATGGGAAATGTCTGTGTCTTTAGATATCTTTATGTCAACAGCAAAATCACTAGGATATCAATAGCCATGAAGTGGCGAACTTGATTTTCTTTTTTATTATTTGTTGAATTTTCGAGATGTAATTTCTCGTTAGTCAGTGAAACATTATGGGTCGAATTCCAAGAATCCAACAATGATCATTTTGGTGATTCAGCACTTATGCGATGTTTTTTTCTTGTTTCCGACGTATTTTTGTCTGAAAAACACGTATTTCATAATGAAAAAGTGGAAAAACCACTATTCATCGAGATATTTCACAAAGTTTGAAGTTTCCATCGCATGATAGTGCAAAATCACCATCAATTCTTGATCGTCATCGTTGTAAAATTAACTCTACCTAACCCTGTAAAGCCCGCAACTAACAATTACCAACAAAAATACCGTCACCAAGCCAGTTTTGACGTTTGTAGCGCCTGCCAATCGGCATTTGAACATGTTGAAACGCGTCAGATAGTCGTCGACCAGATTGTTAAACTCAGTTTCGACCACTTGTCCGTCGTAGTAGGTGATGGGAAATGTCTGTGTCTTCAGATATCTTTATGTCGACAGCAAAATCACTAGGATATCAATAGCCATGAAGTGGCGAACTTGATTTTTTTTTATTATTTGTTGAATTTTCTCATTAGTCAGTCAGTGAAGCATTATGGGCCGAATTCCAAGAATCCAACAATGATCATTTTGGTGATTCAGCACTTATGCGATGTTCGTTTTTCGAATTTTTTCTTGTTCCTTACGTATTTTTGTCTAAAAAACACGTATTTCATATTGAAAAAGTGGAAAAACCACTATTTATCGAGATATTTCACAAAGTTTGAAGTTTCCATCGCATGATAGTGCAAAATTACCATCAATTCTTGATCGTCATCGATAAAAATTAGCTCTACCTAACCCTGTAAAGCCCGTAACTGACAATTACCAACAAAAATACCGTCACCAAGCCAGTTTTGACGTTTGTAGCGCCTGCCAATCGGCATTTGAACATGTTGAAACGCGTCAGATTGTCGTCGACCAGATTGCTGAATTCAGTTTCGACCACTTGTCCGTCGTAGTAGGTGATGGGAAATGTCTGTGTCTTTAGATATCTTCATGTCGACAGCAAAATCACTAGGATATCAATAGCCATGAAGTGGCATACTTGATTTTCTTTTTTATCATTTGTTGAATTTTCGAGATGTAATTTCTCCTTAGTCAGTCAGTGAAGCATTATGGGTCGAATTCCAAAATCCAACAATGATCATTTTGGTGATTCAGCACTTATGCGATGTTTTTTTTTCTTGTTTCCGACGTATTTTTGTCTGAAAAACACGTATATCATAATGAAAAAGTAGAAAAACCACTATTCATCGAAATATTTCACAAAGTTTGAAGTTTCCATCGCATGATAGTGCAAAATCACCATCAATTCTTGATCGTCATCGATAAAAATTAGCTCTACCTAACCCTGTAAAGCCCGTAACTGACAATTACCAACAAAAATACCGTCACCAAGCCAGTTTTGACGTTTGTAGCGCCTGCCAAACGGCATTTGAACATGTTGAAACGCGTCAGATTGTCGTCGACCAGATTGCTGAATTCAGCTTCGACCACTTGTCCGTCGTAGTAGGTGATGGGAAATGTCTGTGTCTTCAGATATCTTTATGTCGACAGCAAAATCACTAGGATATCAATACAATAGCCATGAAGTGGCATACTTGATTTTCTTTTTTATTATTTGTTGAATTTTCGGGATGTAATTTCTCGTTAGTCAGTGAAGCATTATGGGTCGAATTCCAAGAATCCAACAATGATCATTTTGGTGATTCAGCACTTATGCGATGTTCGTTTTTCGAGTTTTTTCTTGTTTCCTACGTATTTTTGTCTGTAAAACTCCTATTTCATAAGGAAAAAGTGAAGCAACCATTCTTTATCGAGATATTTCACAAAGTTTGAAGTGTCCATCGCATGATAGTGCAAAATTACCATCAATTCCTGATCGTCATCGATAAAAATTAGCTCTACCTAACCCTGTAAAGCCCGTAGCTGACAATTACCAATAAAAATAACGTCACCAATCCAGCTTTGACGTTTGTAGCGCCTGCCAATCGGCATTTGAACATGTTGAAACGCGTCAGATTGTCGTCGACCAGATTGCTGAATTCGGCTTCGACCACTTGCCCATCGTAGTAGGTGATGGGAAATTCTGTGTCTTCAGATATCTTCATGTCGACAGCAAAATCACTAGGATATCAATAGCCATGAAGTGGCATACTTGATTATATTTTTTATTTTTTGTTGAATTTTCGAGATGTAATTTCTCCTTAGTCAGTCAGTGAAGCATTATGGGCCGAATTCCAAGAATCCAGCAATGATTATTTTGGTGATTCAGCACTTATGCGATGTTTTTTTTTTCGATTTTGTACTTGTTTCCTGTGTATTTTTGTCTGAAAAACACGTTTTTCATATTGAAAAAGTGGAAAAACCATTTTTATCGAGATATTTCACAATTTTGAAGTTTCCATCGCATGATAGTGCAAAATTACCATCAATTCCTGATCGTCATCGATAAAAATTAGCTCTACCTAACCCTGTAAAGTCCGTAACTGACAATTACCAATAAAAATACCGTCACCAAGCCAGTTTTGACGTTTGTAGCGCCTGCCAATCGGCATTTGAACATGTTGAAACGCGTCAGATTGTCGTCGACCAGATTGCTGAATTCGGCTTCGACCACTTGTCCATCGTAGTAGGTGATGGGGTCCTCGAAAGGGTACTCGAAACCTTGTTTGCACTCGCACTTGTAGCCTCCAGTCTCGAAGCCTCTGCCCAAGATGGGGACGCACTGGAATCAACAGAGAATTGTTGACAAATGTACGTTTTTCGTCGACTTCTACGAAAAATTACATTTTACGTTCTAATTTCCGAACGGAAAACCGACTATTTCCGGAGGAAATGGGAAAGTTTCCTTCAGATGAGTTTTCATAAAATAAGTTCAGAACTCTCCAGTTTTATGTCCACGCTGTACAGAATGGCGACCGATAAAGTCCAAGTCGTTTTCAAATTAAAGCAATTTCTAATTTTCGGAGCGGCATACTGTGACGTACATTCTGAATCAAGTCTGAAAATAGCTGATGGTGAAGAATATAACTAGCGAATAGATAACGAATGAAAAAAGATTGAAAAAAATAGAAGAAGAAGTAATACTGGTAAACAAAAACATACATAACCACAAATGCACTCGGAGCAGGAATGCAGAAGGTAGTTGGCTTCATTCTGACAGGTTATGGTTTTGTTATTTATGCATTGAAACATCTCGAATAGAGCTCGATCCTAAACGAAAATATCATTGAATCAATGAATCACTATCGGCTACATTAAATGATACTATCCTTCCTAATTTACTGCCATCGGTCAGAACAGAATGAAGCCGACACCCATGGCTCCTTCCTCTTGTTGTGCCTGTCAGTATTTTGAGTGGTGTGGACGGACTTGAAGTATTAGGCGCTGTTGCAAGATAGAATAATGCAAATTTCCTAGGAAATAGATCCGTTTCATCAAGGAACGAATTCATTAGCAAAAAAATGATATTGTGATATAACGATAGTGAAAAATTATAGACATTAGTAATCAACTTCTTTCAGCCAATGAGAAATTAGGAAAGTAGGATTGAAGAACCTATTATATCCCATTGCTGTTATGATAAAGTTATTATGCATTCAAAGAACAATTTCCGGAAATCTAGACATATTTATGATGTCGGCAACGACGTACTGGCACAGGGAATCGTATTTTAAATCTGTGTGAATGTGGATTTTCAGAAAGTAAGTCATAGGAATGGTGGAGGAGCCAAGTTCCTCCTTTATTTATTTTTTTCTGAGGTGAAATTTGATCTTACGAAAAAAAGAAAGAATACGTATGTATTAATTTTTTACAAACTTCACAGTGAGATGAAAACCTCAATATAGGAATAAACTTTCCCATTACTTTTTCGGCAACCGTCCGGGAAATATCACATCGTTGTCACTGTAACTATGAACATCTTGGTAGATATGGTTTTGATAAATGCAGATGATGATTACCATAGCAACGAAATATCGGCTGACAGCTATTTGACATGAAATCAGTTGACATTTTGGTTTTTGAAAGTTTGGTTGCAATTATCGTAATAAACTATCGAAAGCAGCTGCGATAGTGAATTTGAAAAGGTCCATACAAAATTTCCAATTTTCAGTATTTGATACAAATGAGAATTGATAAAAAATAAATTATATTATACAGACAGTATTTAAAGAAATATAATATGGAAATGTGTCTCATTGATTTGTCATTTTACATGGTTGTCGAAAAAATAATGTTTGCAACACCTCCACAAAATTCCCGGAGAGTAATTTGACCTCGTGTGGTATTCGGTAAAAAAATTTCACAACCGATTGTGTTTGGAAATTGAATAATTTTTGAATTTATTTGTTTATTTGATTTGGGTCGCAGTTTCGGCACCAATAATAGATTCCTGATTTCTACCTATTATATTTGCATGAAAATACTAGTTTGAAATGTAACATATCAGGACGTCAAAATATTATTCTGTCATAAAAACATTTCCGATTTCATACGCTGGTGGGTAACCACGAGAAAAAAAATCCACTAAAATATATACGTTGCTATGGTAATTTGTCATAAAAACCTAATTCAACTGTATAAAAATCACTGGTGTGGAATTCTATGTAAAATCAAATGTTGCTTCGTCCACGAACATACTTACATAGGAGCCCTTTTCATCACATTTATGAGTATTCTGGAATGCATTGGGTACATAGTATTCATCATTACATTGGTTTATATCCAATTTCAGTAAGTCCATCGTGACTCCCACTGCTCCCCTGAAAAATAAAAATCATCTATTACCCCAACCTTTTATGTAAGCAATTTCAGACTTAGTTCAATTTTCGATCCAAAGCAATTATTAATTGATTAATTATTGAATTCCACTCAGTGGAAACAAATCAATATTATTTCTTAAGATGAAAGTTATAACATTTCATTCATGAGTAATCAAATCATGCCGCATATTTTTCATTCAAATCGTCTTTAGCAAGTATTTTTCAAGATTGATTTTAATCCTTCTTGTATCTTGTATATTTTTTTACTCATTTGGTAATGAATTGTATAAAATTATTCCATTATGAAGTACGGATTGTTCGCCAATGCTCGGATTGAATGTACTTGCATCAAGTAATTCAATTGTCTAGTCCCATAACTATGGACTGTATTGACTTCATTAAAAGCTTGGTTTGACATTCTCAATTTATTCTTTGCAAAATTAATGAAACAACATATTTTAAGTTTATGTAACGAAATCAGATTCAGGAAATGTCTAGGTTTGTATACATTCAAATTGAGACATTTTTAGGCGACAAACAATGACGTAATCGATGAATCTACTGTGAATATAGGAATTTTCTTTTCGTGCGCTCCAAGAGATAAGAAAAAATGATAAGTTTAGCTGTTTGTAATGAAACTGAAATAACTGAAAGGAAAATGAGAAAAATACATCACCGTCTGGTTGAGAAACATAAACAATCAAAAATATCCCCTGATACCTATAATACAATCAACAAGTGAATTGACGGGTACAAAAAACACAGCGCATATACAGGGTATATCTAAATGACACCGAAAAAAATCAAGAGGCGAATCCTTGTGATATTCTAGCAAATAAAGTTCATATAAACATGTATCCTAACTTGCTTCGTTTTTGAGATACAGGATGTTGAAGTTGGAAGTATCAATTGTTTTTATTAATAACCTCCCTGTAAAAGCTTTCATGGTGCCAAAATTCAGTATGGTTGGAGACTGAGAAAGTCCCAAAGTTTCAAAATCATTCTAATGGAAACACGCCTACAATAAAATTTGGAGTTTCAATTGTTTCCTCAAAAATTAAGCTATACAGTGTAATTCATAAAGTCGGCATCATATGGGAAAAACTTTTATTGATGACTTATTTTGAAATTCGAGTTGGACGTTAAGTTTTGCTTCAAAAAATATGAAAAATGGCCTACTCAAACGGGGTCACGTGACTTTCGCTACAAGTAGGCTTATTTGTTCGAATATCGAAAAAGTTGTTTCTATTTGAATTTTACATATATTATGTGACTCGGATTTTAGAGGATTTTTTAGATTTCGATATTTTTTTATAATTTTCGAAATTTCTGTAATATTATACTCATACCAGTAGTTTCATCATGCTACTAACTTTCAATTACTAATTATCACTAATTATCGACAAAAATATGATTTTCTTCAGAAAATGATAATCTCCGCTTCAAAATTCTGTTATGTTTGATGCAAACATAACATCAAAATTCTGTTATGTTTGAATCGAGCATTTAGAAACGAAATTCATTTGAATTTATTTTTCCAGTACTGAAAAGATCAGTTTAAATGAATTTTGTTTCTAAATGCTTGACGAGATATCAACTTTGCATCAAACATAACAGAATATGTAAGCGGGTATTATCATTTTCTGAAGAAAATCATATTTCTGTCCATAATCAGTGATAATAAGTAATTGAAAGTAAGTAGCATGAAAAAGCTACTGGTATGAAGTAGTTTCCGGGGATTAACAATTCTCCAAATATTACAGAAATTTCGAAAAATTGAAAAAAAAATCAAAATCTAAAAGTTGCAATAAAAAGATCAAATTCGAGAAGCATGTGTAAAATTGAAACAACTTTTTCAAGTAAACTTTTTCGATATTCGAACAAATAAGCCTACTTTCAGCGATTAATTTGAAAAAATGTCACTTTTAACATGTAACGAAAGTCACGTGACCCTGATTGAGTAGGCCATTTTTCATCTTTTACGAAGCAAAACTTAACGTCCAACTCGAATTCCAAAATAAGTCATTTATAAAAGTTTTTCCCATATGATGCCGACTTTATGAATGACACTGTATACAAAAATTACACATAGGATAAAAAAGTTTTTATTTCAATAGTTCAATCTAACAAAAATATGAAATTCAGGAAAACCGGTGGCTTTCAATGACATTCACCATAAATATCGATAGATTTACCCACTGTGACGCCACTGGAAATATTATTTCGAATCTAATTGCACCAGAAGAAGCCTCATATTACTATTAACAAAACCACAACGTTTTATTGAAATTGATGAACAGACAACTGAGTTATGAATAAAAAACGATGTTCCATGGAAATATGAATACCCTGTATCTCGAAAACGAAGGACACATGTTTATATGAACTTTATGAATCACCCCTTGAATGTTTTCGGTCTTATTCAGATACACCCTGTATACTAGACCATTAAAAGAGACATAATCACTGAAAACATAACCTCAATATAAACGCAGCATGCAGCTATTCGTAAGGTTTGATGTAAACGGGTTTCAGGTAAAAATGTGGGCTCGGCGCCATACTTTATTTACTAATGTCTTGGAAACAATGGAAATATAATCGACTGACAAAAATGGGGAAGACCACTGAGAGAAGAAATCCGTGCAAACCTCTTTCAATCGACGATTCATGAGTTACGTTTGATGCACAATCAATATTATGGGTTGAAGTTGAAGGGAATCGAATCTATATCGTTTTGAAATCAGCATATTTCATTCGATATTTCAAACAGCCAGATATGATGGTGGAGCCGTGACGTATTAGTCCCAACCAGTAGCTATCTCTCTCTGATACCTCGTCATTCTGCAGTGTTGCAGTGTGATTGGTCAGTTCAAGGACAATAGGCGTGTTGGGACTAAGACGTCGCACCAGTCACACCAATGAATTGACAAAATTTCGAATGGCGCAGGAATTGTGTGCTTTGAAATGGACATATTCTAATTTATTGTTTTCATCGTCTTAGCATGAATGACAAAATTCAAAATTAATTCGCTGGTAGTATTTTAGTATAGAGTACACGATAATGTCGTTTTAAAAAATCAGTGGTCTCCCCCATTATCATAAGTTTTCAACGGTTTTTCATGAACTTCACGAGAAACAAAACTTACTTGAATTCGAGTTTGACCTTGAGACTGTCCCATCCGAAGAAGGGCGCCACATACTTGATCTTCCACATGGGCACTTTGCCGTGACAATCGTAGTAGGGTTGCGTCCAATAGCCGTGCTCCAATCTGGCACCCCTATAGTACGTGGGGTAGTGTTCGAATTTCATCGTGTTTTCCCCTGTCTCGTTGAACCTAATTACAGTAATCATGATATTAATAAAAATTACGATAATAATGACAGACATATTCAAATTTTCGAGTAGTTAATCCTTTCTTTTGTCTCTGCAAAATATAACTTGCAATAATTTGAACTACTGCAAGATATAAAATTCAATAGTTTGATTTTTCGGATGCCACTCTACAGGGTGGGCCACCAGTAACGCCTCGGTCTCTAGAATGCTAACCACTTATCTTCTTGGAATTCTTCCTCTCTAGGAAGTTGCATGTCAACATTGGCTTCCATTTGAAATTATTTCAAAACATACAGGGTGTCCCCAAAAACCGCAAAATACTAAAGTTGAACTTTTTTCAATCGAACACCCTATATATTATTTCATTTTGAGATTCTCCCTGGTGAGCTGATTTCAACAATGCACTACTTGGGGTCTAGCAGTTATAATTACTGAGATATAGGGTGTGAGAAATCGATATTTTCCAAGTTCAAGAATTTTTTGTGTCTAAACCATTCATAATTGGTCAAAACGGCTCACATGTCCCTATCTCAACTTTTGATCAACTATCTACTGACATTTAATTGAAACAAATACAGAGGGTGGTGCAGAATTCAGATTCTTGATCACCCGGTATATGTCCCAATTAAATATCAGTAGATAGTAAATTAAAAGTTGAGATAGGGACATGTAAGCCGTTTTGACCAATTATGAATAGTTTCGACACAAAAAATTCTTGAACTTGGAAAATCTCGATTTTTCACACCCTATATTTCAGTAATTATAACTGCTAGACCCCAAGTATGATGGGTCGTTGAAATCAGCTCATCAGGGAGAATCTCAAAATGAAATGATATATAGGTTGTTCGATTGAAAAAAGTTTAACTTCAGTGTTTTATGGTTTCTGGGGACACCCTGTATGTTTCGAAATAATTTTAAATGGTAGCCTATGTTGACATGCAACTTCCTAGAGAGGAAGAATTCCAAGAAGATAAGTGGTTAGCCTTCTAGAGACCGAGGCGTTACTGGTGGCCCACCCTGTATATTTCATATTAGTAGAAGAGCCGGCTGCAAAGGACCCCGCAAATTTTTAAGGTAAATTGGTTTCCGGTGGATTTTTGTCAATTTTTGGTATTCGCGAGATTCACGAAGGGGGCGACATCTAGTTTACATGATACGAACTTCAAATTGGGGGAAAACAAACTGTTGTCTATGGATAAAGTGCATAGACTATACATTGCATTCAGCTTGCTGTAGCTGTAGTCAAACTTGTCAATGACATAAAGTGTTGGCATTGTTAGTAGTGATGATGGTTGAGTTGGTTAATTTTTTTACATTATTACATTTTCATTAGTATATCGAAGACTGGAACCTTTGGCACGATAATACACTACACTGTTTTACCACTAACCAAACCGATTTTTTAACGCCTCGACACGTGTTTCGCTAACTATGTTAGCATCTTCAGGAGAAGATTAAAACTTCAATCTTCTCCTGAAGATGCTAACATAGTTAGCGAAGCACGTGTCGAGGCGTTAAAAAATCGGTTTGGTTAGTGGTAAAACAGTGTAGTGCATTTTCATTAGGTTCCGTTATTGTCGCTGGAAAAGTTGAAGCAAACTTTTTTCGCTGTCATAATGACAAAATCACGCGACTTGTGGGATTTTTTCATACATGAATTTAATTGTCACTATGAAAGCACCTCCCTTCAATGGGCGTGTACACCTTAGTAAAACTTTTAACACAAACCATGTTTATAATGATCCTTTTATACATAAATAATGATTGACGACATAATTCAATCGAAAAATTAACTGGGAATATTTTATTTTTGGGCATAAATAATAGTACCTTCTGAAAACGTACCCTCTTATGACGTAGAAACCTCATCTCGCCATAGTTAAAAAAAAAAAACCAAATGCTCGACGAAGACTAAGGCAACTGATATATTAATTCTTTCAACTGTTATCTCGCGCTAATTTACTCTGTCAGAAATCATGTATCATTCATCTCTGTCTGGAATAGTCTTGTTTCAGTATTGGTGGTGAGCTAGTTTGGGTGAGATCTATCGAATTATGAAATAAAAATTGTTTGTGATATAAGCCCATTCTAATTAAAATAATTGCAATGACTATGACAGCATATGTCAAGTCGTTATTAATAAATACGTACTAGATTTGAGTCCCCTAATGATAGGTTCTACAGCTAGTGGTGGAAAAACATCCATACCTGAGTCGAATTTTCATCCAGAATTTTTCGAGATTGTCGAAATTGGAGGCCCAACGGTACTTGAGGAATTTGAACCAGGGCTTATTGAGGTAGGATTCTTCCGGCTTGTTCAGTCTAGCGAGATCTTCGACGTTGAATTTTCTGGTTATTTTAGGCCTTTTGTAAGCGTAGGGAGCGAAGAGGGTTCGATTGGTGAATTTGTTGCGTTCCCAATACGTTCCGGCCGACCAAATCCGACTGTTACCTAGAAAAACACGAAAATTCTCAATTTTTCATTCATTTTTTCAATCTTCGAATTCACTTATTCAGATCAATATCTTATTTTTGCATGTTTTCATTCTCAATATTTTATTTCCATTTTTCCTTTCTATTTGTATTCTTCATTCTCCATTCATCATTTCATTTTTCAATTCTTTTTGTTTTTTAGTGTATCCATCGATTTTTCATAATATACAGTGTGACCCACTTCTAATGGAAACACTCATGTATCTTACGTAATCGTTGGGTAAGAATCCTGAAATTTGCTGGAGCGAGAGATATACCAAAAAGGCACTCTATGACCAAGTGGGGTCATCTTCAGTGATATACACTGCTCGCCAACAACCATGGAACCACCCCAATTTCCGGAAAATGATATTAGGAGTCAAATTAGGTTGAAAATCACTTCAGATTCGGAATCAGGACGCCCAATTCACTAACTATTCAGTTTTCCTGGACAATTTTCAGTTCAAAAAAATTGATGTTTTTCTCACTTCTCATGGAAGCACCCCCGTATACAGTCTGTCCAAGATAAGGTTGCACAGCATGGGGATCTCGGAAACGGTAGGAGATATGAAGTCGGTTAAATGGGGAAAAAGTTGCGCATTCGGAGGCTCATACCAACAGCCTTCGAACATTTTCAATTTTTTTTTAGTTCTTCAGTTATATCGAAAAAAGTGAATTTTTGGAATCTCTATTTTATTTTTTTTCTCCGTTATTATTAGAGATACAGGAAAACTGACAATACTTTTTCTTAGCAACTTTTGATGACGTTTAACGTGGTGATACCGATTTTTCTATGCGACGTTTCGTATTCGTAGAACCATCATCAACTTTTGTTTTTTAAATACGGCCCTGATAATTCTTTCACAGATTCTGAAAGCTTTTTTTACTCTGAATTCAACCATGTATTATACAAGGTGGTTTGAATGTGTTTCGAACTATTTTTAGCCATCATCAATGTTTTTTTCGAAATTCCAAAGGAAAAATGCCATCAGTATCACTTATTTCTGATTATTCAGTGTCAAACATTGATGGACTAGTTATTTCAATACTGAAAAGTGAAAAAAAAATCCACTAAATTATTCAATGCAGCGCTTCGAATTGTTTATGAATTGTATTCATATTTTAATCCGATTAATTCCTATAAGTTTATCAATCGGAACTAGTTGATGAGGTATTAGTTTGTTGGCTAATTTTCCTTCAAAATAAGTGGAACTGATGGCATTTTTCCTTTGGAATTTCAAAAAAAACATTGATGATGGCTAAAAATAGTTCGAAACACATTCAAACCACCTTGTATAATACACGGTTGAATTCAGAATAAAAAAAGCTTTCAGAATCTGTGTAAGAATTATCAAGACCGTATTTAAAAAATAAAAGTTGATGATGGTTCTACGAATACGATACGTCGCATAGAAAAAACGGTATCACCACGTTAAACGTCATCAAAAGTTGCTATGAGAAAGTATTTTTAGTTTTCCTGTATCTCTAATAATAACGGAGAAAAAAAATAAAATAGAGATTCCAAAAATTCACTTTTTTCGATATTACTGAAAAACTAGAAAAAATTTTGAAAATTTTCGAAGGCTGTTGGTATGAGCCCCCGAATGCGCAACTTTTTCCCCATTTAACCGACTTCGTATCTCCTACCGTTTCCGAGATCCCCATGCTGTGCAACCTTATCTTGGACAGACTGTATACGGGGGTGCTTCCATGAGAAGTGAGAAAAACATTAATTTTTTTGAACTGAAAATTTTCCAGGAAAAATATGAATAGTTAGTGAATTGGACGTCCTGATTCCGAATCTGAAGTCATCTTCGACCTATTTTGACTTCTAATATATTGTATTATTTTCAATTCAAATTTTTTTTTGTTGCTTACCCAATACGAGAGCAAGGGTTTCTCCGATCATCTGATCTTCCGTCAAATCCTTGTCGGCCACTCTCTTTCCAGAATACACCTCTTTGGAGTCGGATACTTGCAAAAAGGCGCTGATGAAATTGGCCAGACGTAGCGCCATTTTGGCTTCGTTTTCGAAAAATTCCTCGGCACCGTACATGACTCCACCGTGTAGTTGCAGATCTTCCGGTTTATACCTTCAAAACGGCACAGTATTATAACGGGTGCAAAATTAATATTGAAAGAAAATTCTTGGATAGATTTCTTGCATTTAAATTAACCTCAAAAGCACTCTTCTGATGTTAGAATTCATTTAATTATTCCAGTGGTGTCGAAGGGAGACACTATACTGATTATAAATTGAAAAAATATGTGTTAATATTGAACATACCTTTTGCAATTGTCTTTGTTCATGCCCAATATGAAGTCGAGCACTCGATGGACGTTGAGTTGGGGTTGATTTAGGGTAGCAGGACCACGTACTTGGTCCCTATATTCCGGATACTTGTCGAGATTGACTTCTCTGAGATAGGGATCGGATTTTTCCCATTGGACGGGCAGTTTTTGAATCCCTGGAAGCAGACGGTGTCTTCGATTCACAGTAATTATATTTCGTTCCTGAAGATGCTAGTATAGTTATCGAAACAGGTGTTGGTGTGTTGACAAAATTGAAAAATGAGTCTGTTCGAGTAATGGTAAACTAGTCTTTAGTGTAAGTAAATTCAGTGAATAGAAAAGATTATCTGAAATTTAGCAAAAATTATTGGCCAAAATGGGGTGTATTTTAGGACATATGTTCATATGAAGTCTTTGATCCCAACAATACGTTCTTAAAAGTCTTATATTGATCCCAACAATACGTTCGTAAAATATTTACATAAACTGGGGATGTTTTGGTTTTCATCTCACTGTGAAGTTTGTGAAAAATTTATTAATACGTATTTTTTATTTCTTTCGTAAGATCAAATTTCACTCCAGAAAAAAATAAATAACAGAGGAACTTGGCTCCTCCACCATTCCTATGACTCACTTCCTGAAAATCCACATTCACACAAAGTTAAAATACGATTCCCTGTGCCAGTACGACGTTGCCGACATCATCAATTTGTCTAGATTTCCGGAAATTGTTCTTTGAATGCATAATAACTATTATAATAACAGCAATGGGATATAATAGGTTCATCAATCTTACTTTGTCAAGTATTATGAATTATTCCCATTAATCTCTCATTGGCTGAATGAAGTTGATTACTAATGAAGATAAATTATGATATTTTGCGGTAGTATCTATAATTTTTCACTATCGTTTTATTACAATATGTTATTCAGAACTTGTCAGTCATTTTTTGCTAATGAATTCGTTCCTTGATAAAAGGGATCTATTTTTTAGGAAAGTTGTAGATTATATCTTGCAACAGCGCCTAATACTTCGAGTCCGTCCACATCACTCAAAATACTGACAGGCACAACAAGAGGAAGGAGCCATGGGTGTCGGCTTCATTCTGTTCTGACCGATGGCAGTAAATTATGAAGGATAGTATCATTGGATGTAGCCGATAGTGATTTATTGATTCAATGATATTTTTGTTTAGAATCGAGCACTATTCGAGATATTTCAATGCATAATTAACAAAACCATAACCTGCCAGAATGAAGCTAACTACCTTCTGCATTCCTGCTCCAAGTGCATTTGTGGTTATGTACGTTTTCGTTTACCAGTTTTACTTCTTCTATTTTTTTCATTCGTTTTTCATTCGTTAGCAATTCGCTAGCTATATTCTTCACCATCAGCTATTTTCAGACTAGATTCAGAATGTACAGGGTGATTCACCATAAATGTCCCCCCCTCTAGCTCAGTTATTTTTGAACCGATTTCAAAATATGGAATATCACAGTTATTTTTGAACCGATTTCAAAATATGGAATATCATCTCAAATGATTTTCGATAGAGTTTTTTTCCGCTACATCAGAAAATACAGGGCGCTCGGAAAAAACGATCTACAGGGTACTATTCGATTTTTTTAAATGGAACACCCTATTCTTCATTGTATCTTTAGATTCTCGTTGAAGAGCTGATTTGATCAATGCATCACACTTGGGGTCTAGCGGGAATGATTACAGAGATAAAAGGTGTTCAAAATCGAGAGTTTTAAACTTTGAGATTTTTTTGTGACGAAATTATTCATTATCGGTCAAAACGGCTCTCATGTCCGTATCTTAACTGTAGATTTACTATCTACTGACATTTAATGATTGGAACAGATACAGGGTGATCAGAATTCTGAATCTTGAACCACCCTGTAAATGTTCCAATTAAATGTCAGTAGATAGTAAATCAAAAGTGGACATGGGGACATAGAAGCCGTTTTGACCAATAATGAATAGTTTCGACACAAGAAAATCCTTAAGTTGAAAAATCTCGATTTTGAACACACTATATCTTTGTAATCATTCCCGCTATACCCCAGAAGTGATGTATTGATAAAATCAGTTTTTCAGGAAGAATCTAGAGATACAATGAAATACAGGGTGTTTCATGTGAAAAAATCAAGTAGTACTCTGTGGATCGTTTGTTCCGAGCACCCTGTATTTTCTGATGCAACGGGAAAAAAATTTCTGAAAAATCATTTCAGATTATTTTTCAAATTTTTAAATCGGTTCAAAAATTAGTGAGCTAGAGGGGGGGACATTCTTGGTGAATCACTCTGTACGTCACTGTTTGCCGCCACGAAAATTAGAAATTGCTCTAATTTGAAAATGAAAACGACTTGGACTTTATCTCTCGCCATTTTGTACAGCGTGGACATACAATTGAAGACTTCCGAACTTATTTTATGAAAAATCATCTGAAGGAAACTTCCCCATTCTGAATCACCCTGTATGGTGGAATAAACGATAGAAAAATAATTTCATGAGTATCCACTAGAATTGGGAGTGTGGAAATTATGATATGATGAGAGTTAGTCGACTTACATCCGATTTTCTTGCAATCGAATCCGTTGTAATATTGCTCTGCCGTAGCTCTTTCTATGATTTCTCCCAAGAAAGGTCTTCTGGTTTGTAGAGGTAACCTGGTACCCGGTCTACATCTGCACTGGTACCCACCTCTGCGGAATCCCCAACCGTGTAGTGGTTCACACTGCAAAAAAAGTTTCACATACAGACCATTCGTGCGAGTAATGAGCACATTTTTTTTTTCTATTATATTGGCATTTTGTTGTATTTCCGGGCCTATTTCAGTAGATTTTCTGTTACAGTGTGATGTTTAGTACCTCTGTCGTTTCGTTTTTGCATCTGGCTGTGTCTGCGAATCTGTTTGGTCCGATGTTTCCTGCACTTGGTGGACATTGATTTATGTCTATCCTTTCGAAGTCCATCTCTACTACGGCTGCGGCAGTGTAACTGAAAAAACATTGTTCATATGATATCGAAATACACACAGTTCCAAAAAAAGTGACGCACTTGATATTTGACCTATCTTCTTAAAAGAAAAAAAATAGTAGGCCGATTTTTATTTTTTTTCTATTTGTTGGTAGGTAATGCATTTGTCTTAAAAAAAAATAAAGAGGTGAACATTTTTTCAAAGCCTCCTTGATGGTGGTGGAATAACTCGAACCATGATTTATTCTTAATTTTTGACTCACCCTGTGTGTTAGTTGAGTAGTGGCATAGAAAGTGTTTACACCCTATACGAAAGAGGCTTCTTTTGCGAGCATTTTATTTTTCTATTCATTGATACATCTCTGAAATTTTCCGAATTACAGCATTTTTTGCTGAATCCTTGCAGATTACCAACTTTCTGAATTTATCGAGAAACAATTTTCTAATGAAATAAACTGATACCAATAATTTTAAGAAACATTTTCATAGAACACAAAATTATAAATTGGGATGACTGCTTTATACCGTGTATTGCCTCCTCTAGCAACTCTAAGAACTTCTAATCTACGAGGCATACTGGAAATTAAGTTGCTTATCGTTTCCATTGGTATACGATCCCATTCTTCCACTAATGCATCTGCCATTTCTGCGAGACTTTCCGGAGACCCCTCGCGAGAACGTACCCTTCTCCCTAATTCATCCCACCAATGTTCTATAGGATTCATATCGGGGCTTCTCGCAGGCCATTGTAATGTGGTAATACCAGTAGCTTCTAAGAAGTTTCGCACTATTGCTGCGGTGTGTGGTCGGGCATTATCCTGCATCAATATGAAATTATTGCTCACTAACTCTGCATTAGGTAAGACATACTGCTCTAAAATGTCAATGTTAATTTGGGCATTCATCGACTGCCTCACCGGAAAAACATGAAGGGGTGTCTTTCCATTCATTGAAATCCCTCCCCACACCATAACGGACCCACCATTAAAACTTTCGCATTCTGTTATTAAATTTTGATTAAAACGTTCACCAGTTCTTCTCCACACTCTTTTTTTTTTTTCATCCACCATGTTAAGGCAAAACCTTGACTCATCCGTAAACAAGACATTCGACCATTCAGGAATATTCCACTGTCCATAATTTTCAACAAAATTCCTTCTAGCAGCACGATGTTCGGGCAATAATTTGGGACCTTTTGCAGGTCTCCTAGCTTTTAAATTAACTTCTTTTAGACGTCTACATACCGTCTGCTTACTTACTGCAACATCACGAATTTGGCGAAGATCTTGCTGAACATTTACCGTATCCCCCGTATACCATTACTCAATTAACACACAGGGTGAGTCAAAAATTAAGAATAAATCATGGTTCGAGTTATTCCACCACCATCAAGGAAAAAATTTTCAAATATCAAGTGCGTCACTTTTTTTGGAACTGAGTGTAGTATATTTCTACGGCTATAACACAAGATTGCTCTTGTTATACGACGCTATACATAGTGGAGTATACTACGGCCTTGCCAAAAATGCTATCTCGGAAACTGAGCGAGATAGAGGTATAGTTACTTTGGAGAAAATGATCCCCATCGAATTTTGAGCAACTTTGGTTTTTGTGTGTGGTCTGTCTGTCTGTCTGTCTGTACTATGTGTTAATCATAAATCGATATATCTCCGGAACCCTTTGACATATCGACTTGAAATTTTGCCATCTTATTGTACTCAAAACAATATTATGTCATTTAAATATGAAGGAAATCGGAAAACTCTAAGGTGGTTTTTCCGGGTTTTTTCGATTTTTCAGCGGAAGATCCTTGTAACCACTCTACAAATCGCAGAAGTGGTCCGATCGATTTCATTTTTCGTGAAAAAAACCTCTATCAGGGAAAGACGAAGCCTATTGAAATTGAGCAGGGTCGGGAAATTCCAAGTGGGTTTTTCAAGGAGATTTTCCGAAAAACACGGTTCAATTTAAAACGACATATCTCCTGAACCAATAGACTGAATCCTAATTTGAAAAATGCACCGTATGCCTCTTTGATGACGCAACAAATTATTATTCAACCATTTTTTCGTGCATCCATCGGAAAATGGAAAAACAAATGAAAATCAAAACATCAAAATTTGAAATCCTTTCAATTCAATATATATCGAAAACAAATGGAAAAATCGAAAATTATCAGGAGTGCAAAGTTATCCACTGGAACATTTCCTACAAATTATTTTCCATAATTTTTTCTGTAAACCCAATAGTACAGGAAATAAAGTGAAAAATATGAAAAAAAAAAATTTTAACGACCCATAGGGTACTATGAAGATATATTGAAAAACAAAGATTATCGATAGATGAAGCTCATCGACTTCCACTGGACCATGAAATATTTTTTCATTTTGTTGATTGGAAGCTGGAACAAAAGTGTTGAAAATTTTATTCTCAGATAATTCCAAATATCTCGAAAACAACTGGAAATATCTGGAAATGTTATGGAACCAAAATTATTCCTTTTGATAAAATCTACAAAAAAGCCCTATGACATTTTGCTCTGAATTCAATAGTTCGGGAGATACGATGAAAAAACTAAAAAATTTACAAGTTCCTAAATAATCACTTGCCAATAGAAAACAAAACAAAAAACAAAAGAAAGTAAAAAAAGCACACTCGAGTGTCTTGATTTTTCTCTCATAAACTACGTACCTAGCTCACTTGACTGTGTGGAAAAACCAAGACAGTCGAGTGGGCTAAGTACGTAGTTTGTGGGAAAAATCTCCAGTTCTCCAAACTTTCATAGCGTCGTATACACATCCTTGGTGCCCAATGATAGTTTCAATATAAAAATATACTCATGATATGGTGCCATGGCCTCTACTTCCATCTTACATGAGCAATGATAAAATATCATCTGCTTTTATAGCGTCGTATAAATTATCTGACCTCTATACTGATCTAATACTTGATGAAAACTACATCTATACTCACCTGATACCTTTCAAAAACTACGTACCTCACTTGTTTCACTATGTTCAATACATCGATGAGGTACTTTGTATCTCATCAATTTTATTTCCGTATCTGATATCACAATGGATCCATTGTGTTATTATTTCGAAAAAATCTCATCGCTCATGGAATGTCAAATGTAAATCAATGACAGCTCTGTCTAATAGATGAGCAAAACTTGACAGGAAATCAGATTGCTACAAGACGGAGGAATCGAAAATGACGCTTCTTTCTCGTGGGAAATCACTATCATTCCGTGCTCGTTAAACAATATACATTTTGTTCCTTAGTCAATATTTTTATTGACCATTATTTGTTTACGAAGCAAAGTCATTTCGAATCTTGAATCGTCGTTTTTATCCTAGCTGCACAAACAAGTGTCAGTTTTTTTTTCTGGTCATGACCAACTGATTAATTTTCCCAATACGAAATTGAATAAAATTCAACTGATGAGTTCACTGACCTCCAGTAGAGCTAATATAGTCTGACCACCCTAAACAATTACTGAAGATGGGATTGGCAATCCGTTTAATTGATGTATAAGGGTAATATAATGACTTTGAAGGGTCTAGAGACCAGACGGATAATCTGAATATGCTCATTAGTGAATCGCCTGTATTATGAAACATATATACAAAATACAGCGTGATCCGCTCGGATGAATGATTCAACTTTTTTTTTCCAAATTTACTACTAAAAAAATCCTTTGATAGTAAGAGAGCCGGCTGCAAATTTAGACCGTAATCTGTTAACGAAATGTTATACAGGGTGGCATTGAAATAAGTGCAAATATTTCGAACGCTGAGAAAGCTCAACGTGTACTATCGAATGGTACTAATAAAAAAATGCAGGGATCAAGATAAAATTTGAGGTTAGACCCCTTTTTCCACCCAAAGTTCTACACTGTAGCAAATCTGACGTCACCTCTGTTGAAATTTCCATGCCGTATAGGCACAATCACGGAGAGTTCAATCATTTAAATTGTTTTACTTGATTTTTTTTCTCGTATTTTGTTCAATTTTTGGTATGTAATTTCTCGTTAATTAGGAGAATATTCCTCAGACTGTATCATATTAATATGCTGAATATGTGCACATATTTCATGAACACCTTGTATGTTCTAGAGCATGTAAAAATATTGTATTTCATTAAACGGCACCTGTGCCAATCACTATCCTGAGCAAAATGATTGAAAAAATGGCACTTTCCTGTGCGTTAATTTGCACTCAATTTCCCGATTTGACAACGAGATAAGAATTATGCCATCCGATACCAATTGAATGGTAGATCTCAAAATCCTACCAGTCCACCCCTTAATCCGAGCCAAATCCATGACACAGCGATGTATTTGCAAATGAAAGAGGATAATGTCCCCTTTACGAATATCCAAATGCTAAGCTAAGTTAGTGACAGAGCGTCAGTATTTCCGAGAATATTTCATACTTGTCGAGAGATAATATCCGATGAACCAGTCTGAAACCCATGTGGTGCTAGTCGAATCCACTTGTTATACGATGCTATACATAGTGGACTATACTACGGCCTTGCCAAAAATGCTATCTCGGAAACTAAGCGAGATAGAGGTATAGTTACTTTGGAGAAAATGATCCCCATCGAATTTTGAGCAACTTTGGTTTTTGTGTGTGGTCTGTCTGTCTGTCTGTACGCTGTGGTAATCATAAATCGATATATCTCCGGAACCCTTTGACATATCGACTTGGAATTTTGCCATATTTTTGTACTCAAAACAATATTATGTCATCAAAATATGAAGGAAATCGGAAAACTCTAAGGTGGTTTTTCCGAGTTTTTTCGATTTTCCACCAGAAGTTTTTTGTGACCACTCTACAAATCGCAAAAGTGGTCCGATCGATTTCATTTTTTGTGAAAAAAAAACTCTATCAGGGAGAGGCGAAGCCTATTGAAATTGAGCAGGGTCGGGAAATTCCAAGTGGGTTTTTCAAGGATATTTTCCGAAACACACGGTTCGCTTTAAAACGACATATCTCCTGAACCAATAGACTAAATCAAAATTTGAAAAATGCACCGTATACCTCTTTGATGACGCAACAAATTATTATATCACCATTTTTTCGTGCATCCAACGGAAAATGGAAAAACAAATAAAAATCAAAACATCAAAATTTGAAATCCTTTCAATTCAATATATATCGAAAACAAATGGAAAAATCGAAAATTATCAGAAGTGCAAAGTTATCCACTGGAACATTTCCTACCTATTATTTTTTCTGTAAACCCAATAGTACAGGGAATAAAGTAAAAAATATGAAAAAAAATGTGAACGACCCATAGGGTACCATGAAGATATATTGAAAAACAAAGATTATCGATAGATGAAGCTCATCGACTTCCACTGAACCATGAAATATTTTTTCATTTTGTTGATTGGAAGATGGAACGAAAGTGTTGAAAATTTTATTCTCAGATAATTCCAAATATCTCGAAAACAACTGAAAATATCTGAAAATGTTACGGAACCAAAATTATTCCTTTTGATAGATTCTACAAGAAATCCGTATAACATTTTTCTCTGAATTCAATAGTTCGGGGGATACGATGAAAAAACTAAAAAATTCACAAGTTCCTAGATAATCACTTACCAATAGAAAACAAAACAAAAAACAAAAGAAAGTAAAAAAAGCACACTCGACTGTCTTGATTTTTTTCTCATAAACCACGTACCTAGCTCACTCTACTGTCTTTATTTTTGCCAATAAACTAGGTACGGGCTAAGTACGTAGTTTGTACGAAAAATCTCCAGTTCTCTGAACTTTCATAGCGTCGTATACACATCATTGGTGCCCAATGATAGTTTCAATATAAAAATATGCTCATGATATAGTGCCATGGCCTCTACTTCCATCTTACATGAGCAATGATAAAATATCATCTGCTTTTATAACGTCGTATAAATTATCTGACCTCTATACTAATCTGATACCTTTCAAAAACTACGTACCTCACTTGTTGAGTTTCACACTGGTCCATCGGATATTATCTTTCAGAGGGGCAAAATATTCACTTGTAATACCACTAGAGGTCAAATTATTTCCGGGAATTTTCTCGAGCTCATGAATATGTTGAAAATTATTCCGTGACTAATTGGGGAAACATTAACCGCGCTCGAGAATGTACAGGTGACAATTTTTTTTCGCAACTTTGTGGCTCTCCAATTTCCTTACGTCACGCTCAAATCGTCAGATTATTGAAATGAACACTTTTCTGCGTGTAATCAACGTTCTATCTGAGGCGCTCGAGTATTTCTGACGATCGATTTTTTTTACTAATCTGATCGACTGCCCTAAACTTTTGGCACCATATAAAGGGTAAAGGTATGATGGAAGTACTTCACAAGGTCCAAGGATGGATACCCCCCCTTATGTTAATCTGCCGCGCTCGAGTTAATCCCGAAATCCTCGATTGGGCTTCCTTACTAAAAAGACTTACGTCGGATATTCGATGTGTCTGAATCCGGTATGCCTCGGATAGATGTCCGCTATGGGAACCACCGCCGCCACCAGCCACCTGTTACTCCTACCGCAATCGAAGTAAGGCCTCGTGAATTTGACAGGTCCGGGCACCTCGTCCGGCCCCGGGGGCCCGTGGAATGTGAACGTCTCATTGGTGTTGTTGGCATATCGGATCTCCACCTGTGATATTTGTGGAAAATTTTGTGAAAAAGTTTGCTAACTTGTGTGCGGTTAGGAAGAGCGGAACCTACAGCTTATAGTGGATTCCGAACCACTTTTAGGGCGCCGAGGTGCTGCCAGGATTACAACCAAGAATCACTCTTTTTGTAAGAAAAATGCCATCAGGATCCCAACGGACAGCCCGAGGGGTGTCTCACTCCAAAAAAATGTTTACACCATATTGGATATTGTGAGATTCGAAGCAATATTCATTAGATTTGTAGCAATCCCTTGAGATTTGCAAGATTTCCAAGATTTCTTCAGATTTCTAGGGATTTTCTTAGGATTTGTTGAATTTATAAAAGAATGAGAGACTCCTGGAATTTCCCAAAAATCTGCGAGATTTTCAAGATTTGTACGGGATTTTCAAGATTTCTCCGATTCCTAAGGATTTTTCAAGGATTTACGAGAATTATCAAGGATTGAGAGTTCTGATGATTTTCAGTATACATGAGAATGTCGAAAGTTTCTCAAGGTTCATCAAAATTGCACGGATTTTTTCAACATTTGCTAGAATTTTCAAGATCTGAAAGAATTTTTTGGTTATAAAGGTTGACAATCATTATGTTCTGAAAAACAAAAGTTTCAGAAAAGAGAAATGCTAATAATCTTCAAAAGTTCAAAGAAATCTAACACCTACCTCCTCTCTTCAGGTACTTCCAATTTTTTCGGCACATTATTAGGGATTCCCTTCTGAGCTCCCCAAGAGATAAATAGAGCATAAGTGAAGAGAAAATCAGATGGCTACTCACTGTAATCTGTCACAGCCGTAGACAAAGTATAGTGTATTACTCGCACGGAATGCTTATCAAAACTCGCATGATTTCGCCTACGGCTCATGCTGCAAATTTCATTCTCGTGGGAAATGACCTCGGAAATGACTCGGTCAACAATATACCTACTATTTCGTTATCTTGTCTACACGATCATGTTGCAATACTTTTGCGCCGTTGCCAAATTGATTAGAATTATTTCGAAAAATCGTAGGATGTTGATGAGACTTCCGACCATCCGACTATCGCTGCAATGAAATCATAATTGAGAGTTAACTTACAAGGTCATTTATAATGAACTGCCAATGTTTTTCCCATGGTCATCACTTTGTTACTCCAAATGGAACACCCTGTATAGTCCAGTAGCAAAGCATTCACACAGTAATTCACAATTATTGCCATTCGTATAATTTGTTCGAAAATCTGTTATAGGTATTATCGAGGATATTACCAACGTATCTTTGCGGTGAATAGGCAAGAATAGGTACTGCATCAGTTATGACGTTATGTCATTATGAGAACAAGTTGTTTTTATTTCGTTTATTATGGAAATGAGATCAGCGATCAGCAGCGGGCTCGAGAACGGACAGCCTACCCCCACCTTTTCTTATATTTCGCGACGAGGAATAACCTGGAGGATGCCCGATTGAGAGATTTGCGCTTGGGACTGAGAGATTGTCACGATATTCTCGGGATTGGTAGTATTCGACGAAAGATTGAGAGATTCGATAAGAGATTTATGAAATCTCAAGAATCGAGCTGTGATTTCCCAAAGATTGACACATCATTTTCGCGGATTGTCAGATTCGAAGAGACATTTAGGGATTCGAAGAGATTTTCGTGGATTTCCAAGATTGAACCTTGGATTGGTGAGATTAAGAAGATTCAAAACGGAATGTAAAGGAAGTGTACACCAGATTGTCAGACGAGATTGTCAGAGTGAGACACCCCTGGCGACAGCCTCTCTACATCGGTAAACGACAATTTGAGCATATACCGTGACGTAACGAGTTCGGTTCAGTTGGATTTACAGAATTTATTGCTAGAGTGGAGAACTTATTCTATGAAAATAATTGAATGATGAAATTGCCTCGGCCGAAGACACAGGGGAAGAAAACCGGAAATGAATCCACCGAACCACCCACGGTGACAGTAAGCTGATACCAGGCCTCCTGCATTATGACAAATATTCGAAATGAATATTCAATTTGGACTCGTTGGAGCCGCCCTAACACTGCAGGTCACTCTCACAAAGTCTATTAGGTTCAATTACTAGCCAATATCCCCAATCACCTAACAGGTCAAGAGGTCCCTACAGTTTAGCTAATTAATTTTCGTCCAACCCACCCAAGGCTCAGAAGGAGTCTCTTGCTTGGACAATACGGTGAAAATCGCACTAAACACTTCAAGAACAAGATTTATTTTGCTTGTCATTCTAAACCTATCACTTGTTGCCTTGCCTTTCATCACATTTCAAACTCAAATTCTCGGAAATAAACTGACTTGATGAAATGAAAAAACATTGAGAACAAGCTGGTTCAATTGCATACCTGGTAGGTGGTCTTGGTGTCGTGCCTGCCCACTACGTCATCGGGCAGCCATTGCTTGTACCACTCGTTGATGCGGTAGTAGTCGCTGGTATAATCATCGCTGGTATCTGGTCGTATCGAGCCCAAATCGTGGACAGTGAAGGTGTCCAGGGTGGAAATGCGTTCCAGGTGAATGGGGTCGTTGAAGTCATCAGCTCTGAAGGTCCTCGGAGCGAATCTGAAAAGATAATTGTTAGGGGGTTAGCACCTCTGTTGCTGGAATCTGTTGGAAGCCTCCAAGGATCCTTTGGGAAGTGACTAGCGTCTTATAAAATGTTTGGTAGTAACTATTAATCATGTGGAGTCGCTGCAAAACGACTCCCGAAGCCTTTTTGAAGGCCTTGGGAGTCGATAGAAATCTTGATAGAGTATTTAGGCGTCGTGTACATTCACTGGATAGTCTTGAAAGGATCTGAGACCTTTTTAGATTCTTTGATAGTTGGTGGAAGTCTTCCCATTTCTTCGGAAGGCCAGAAATCATTGGAAGTCGTTTGGATTCGGTGGGAGACTTCTGGAAGATTTCAGAAGTCATTTGAAGTAAGAAAGTAGAAGTCCTTCTACATCTTTGGAATGTTTATGAAATCTTTGGTGATCACGTGGATTTACTGGAGTTATTTTGTAGTAACTGGGAATCATGTGAAATCGCTGCAAAACTGTGAATGCCTTTTTGAAGGCTATGAGAGTCGATACAAGTCTTGATAGTATCTTCAAGTCGTGTGCATTCACTGGATATTTTTGAAAGGCACTGGAACCTTTTAGGAGTCTGATAGTTAGTGGGAGTCTTTCTAAACCTTCGACATGGTTCAAGAGTCATTTGAAAGTGTAATAAGGTTTTTGAGAGTTTGTGAAATCACTGCAAAACTTTGGAGCGCTTTGAGAGTCGATAAAAGCTGACTGAATGTCTTTGAAAATCATGTGAAATCACTAAAAACATGGAAGGAGTCTAATAAAATCACTGGGAATCATGTGGTATCACTGAATATCTTTGAAACCTTCTTGAATTCCTTTGATAAAGTCATTTGAAGTAAGGAAGAGTCGTTAGAGTCTTGGAAGAAGTTCGAGAGTCAATTGACAGTCTTTGGATTCATATATGGAAATTTTCAAGATTTTCTTTAGGCTTAGTCTTTGGAATACCTCGAGGGCTATAGAAGTCTAATTGAACCATTCAAACCAAAAGAGTTTGAAAATCTTTTTGAAGTCTTTGGTAGTCGTTAAATTCAGTGGGGGAATCTCGAAGTCACTGCCTTCTTGAGGCCTTTGGAAGTGGTTTGATTAGTGGGAGTCTTCTACAGACTTGGGGAAGACTTTCAGAGTCAATTGGAAGTTTTTGAGAGTCACCTGGAAATATTTAAAAGTCACTAGCAGACTTTTGGAAGTGTTTGAGATCCATTGAGAGTCACTGAAAAGAATGTTGAAGTAATTTCATGTTGTGAGGAGATTGGAAGCTTCAACTCAAAGAGCCAATGGTAGTCTTCGAAAGTCTAGTCTTCAAACCATTCGCAGCAAAGCTTGGATAGTTTTTGATCATTCTTACCTGGGAAACGTCTTGTTGAAAAATCCCCTGTACGAGCTGGAATAGGACATGTTGGGAGCGAAATAGATGGCGCTGGCGTTGATATGCTTGTTCGTGGACACATCGGCTACCGTCGACAGGAAATAGTAGATCATGCCGGGATCGTAGGTGTCGTTGATGGCCGGTCGGATGAAGCGGCTCTGCAGTATGTAGGACCAGAAGAAGGCCCTGTTTAGGGCCATGTTGTGCATGTGCAGCAGCTGAGTTCTGTTGGGGAACACCGGGTTCACGTTGATGTCTTTGATGTCGGGTAGATGAGACACCGAGTCCTGGAAACGTGAATGATAATCTCCGTTAGATGTCTATTGTTGAGTCGTTTTCACGCTGTTTTCACTTCCATAACTTCATACTTAGACTTCTCCAAGTCACAAACTGATTATATCATCGAAACAATGTGGATTTGGAACATACTGAGATGGTGTTGCTTCAAAAAAAAATCGGGGCTGTGGACAACAATACAAGAAACATCCAGAACAAGATTCTTCACTTGTTGCTTTGATGACTATGTATGCTTGAGGAGCAAACAAGTGACAGTGTTGATAGTCTTTCAATTGAGATACAGTAGACACCGTGAATCGAATGGGGTCATAATCAGTCCCATAGGACAGTTAGTTTTCGAGATATCGGCGCTCAAAGTCAGCTTTTCGCTTTTATTTCCAATAGTGGGACCATAATCAGTCCCATAGGACAGTTAGTTTTCGAGATATCGGCGCTCAAAGTCAGCTTTTCGCTTTTATTTCCAATAGTGGGACCATAATCAGTCCCATAGGACAGTTAGTTTTCTAGATATCGGCGCTCAAAGTCAGGTTAGGTTAGGTTTTCGCTTTTATTGCCAATAGGAGCACTCCGATAGGCTACTACGTCTCTATTTTACAAAATTTACCGATTTCCATCAGATTCGTTCATTACGGCATCGAATTAGTCTATGTGAATTTTTTCAGATTTTTAATAGGACAAATAAAAATTTTCATTTTCCCACCTAAGACTTCCGTACGATATATTCACCGAGCCATTTTAGGACGGCCGAAAGTGCCAGAAAACGGCGAAAATTCACGCGAGTTATCTCTTTTCCAGTTGAAAATGACCCGCTGAATCGAATGAGACCATAATCAGTCCCATAGGACAGATAGTTTTCGAGATATCTGCGCTGAAAGTCAGCTTTTCGCTTTTATTACCAATAGGAGCACTCCGATAGGCTACTACGTCTCCATTTTCCAAAATTTAGCGATTTTCATCACAGATTCGTTGATTTCGACATCGAATTAGTCTATGTGAATTTTTTCAGATTTTTAATAGACGAAATAAAAGTTTTCATTTTCCCACCTAAGACTTCAGTACGATATAGTCACCGAGCCATCTTCGGACGGCCGAAAGTGCCAGGAAACGGCCAGAATCTACGCGAATTATTGCTTTTCCAGTAGAAAATTACCCGCTGAATCGAATGAGACCATAATCAGTCCCATAGGACAGATAGTTTTCGAGATATCGGTGCTGAAAGTCAGTTTTTCGCTTTTATAACCAATAGGAGCATTTCAGTAGGCTACTACGTCTCCATTTTCTAAAATTTCATGATTTCCACAACAGATTCGTTTATTTCGACATCGAATTAGTCTATGTGAATTTTTTCAGATTTTCAATAGGCCAAATGAAAATTTTCATTCTCCCTTCTAAGAACGATATAGTCACCGAGCCATCTTCGGACGACCGAAAGTGCCAGAAAACGGCGGAAATTCACGCGAATTATCTCTTATCCAGTAAAAAATGACCCGCTGAATCGAATGAGACCATAATCAGTCCCATAGGACAGATAGTTTTCGAGATATCGGCGCTCAAAGTCAGCTTTTCGCTTTTATTGCCAATAGGAGCATTCCAGTAGGCTACTACGTCCCCATTTTCCAAAATTTCATGATTTCCACAACAGATTCATTGATTTCGACATCGATTTAGTCTATGTGAATTTTTTCAGATTTTTAATAGGCCAAATAAAAATTTTCATTTTCCCTTCTAAGACTTCAGTACGATATAGTCACCAAGCCATCTTCGGACGACCGAAAGTGCCAGAAAATGGCGGAAATTCACGCGAATTATCTCTTATCCAGTAAAAAATGACCCGCTGAATCGAATGAGACCATAATCAGTCCCATAGGACAGATAGTTTTCGAGATATCGGCGCTCAAAGTTAGCTTTTCGCTTTTATTGCCAATAGGAGCATTCCAGTAGGCTACTACGTCTCCATTTCCCAAAATTTCATGATTTCCACAACAGATTCGTTAATTTCGACATCGATTTAGTCTATGTGAATTTTTTCAGATTTTTAATAGGCCAAATAAAAATTTTCATTTTCCCATCTAAGACTTCAGTACGATATAGTCACCGAGCCATCTTCGGACGACCGAAAGTGCCAGAAAACGGCGGAAATTCACGCGAATTATCTCTTATCCAGTAAAAAATGACCCGCTGAATCGAATGAGACCATAATCAGTCCCATAGGACAGATAGTTTTCGAGATATCGGCGCTCAAAGTCAGCTTTTCGCTTTTATTGCCAATAGGAGCATTCCAGTAGGCTACTACGTCTCCATTTTCCAAAATTTCATGATTTCCACAACAGATTCGTTAATTTCGACATCGATTTAGTCTATGTGAATTTTTTCAGATTTTTGATAGGCCAAATAAAAATTTTCATTTTCCCATCTAAGACTTCAGTACGATATAGTCACCGAGCCATCTTCGGACGACCGAAAGTGCAAGAAAACGGCGGAAATTCACGCGAATTATCTCTTATCCAGTAGAAAATGACCCGCTGAATCGAATGAGACCATAATCAGTCCCATAGGACAGATAGTTTTCGAGATATCGGCGCTCAAAGTCAGCTTTTCGCTTTTATTGCCAATAGGAGCATTCCAGTCGGCTACTACGTCTCCATTTCCCAAAATTTCATGATTTCCACAACAGATTCGTTAATTTCGACATCGATTCAGTCTATGTGAATTCTTTCAGATTTTTAATAGGCCAAATAAAAATTTTCATTTTCCCATCTAAGACTTCAGTACGATATAGTCACCGAGCCATCATCGGACGACCGAAAGTGCCAGAAAACGGCGGAAATTCACGCGAATTATCTCTTATCCAGTAAAAAATGACCCGCTGAATCGAATGAGACCATAATCAGTCCCATAGGGACAGATAGTTTTCGAGATATCGGCGCTCAAAGTCAGCTTTTCGCTTTTATTGCCAATAGGAGCATTCCAGTAGGCTACTACGTCCCCATTTCCCAAAATTTCATGATTTCCACAACAGATTCGTTAATTTCGACATCGATTCAGTCTATGTGAATTTTTTCAGAATTTTAATAGGCCAAATAAAAATTTTCATTTTCCCTTCTAAGACTTCAGTACGATATAGTCACCGAGCCATCTTCGGACGACCGAAAGTGCAAGAAAACGGCGGAAATTCACGCGAATTATCTCTTATCCAGTAGAAAATGACCCGCTGAATCGAATGAGACCATAATCAGTCCCATAGGACAGATAGTTTTCGAGATATCGGCGCTCAAAGTCAGCTTTTCGCTTTAATTGCCAATAGGAGCATTCCAGTAGGCTACTACGTCTCCATTTCCCATAATTTCATGCTTTCCACAACAGATTCGTTAATTTCGACATCGATTTAGTCTATGTGAATTTTTTCAGATTTTTAATGGCCAAATAAAAATTTTTCATTTTCCCTTCTAAGACTTCAGTACGATATAGTCACCGAGCCATCTTCGGACGACCGAAAGTGCCAGAAAACGGCGGAAATTCACGCGAATTATCTCTTATCCAGTAAAAAATGACCCGCTGAATCGAATGAGATCATAATCAGTCCCGTAGGACAGATAGTTTTCGAGATATCGGCACTCAAAGTCAGCTTTTCGCTTTTATTGCCAATATGAGCATTCCAGTAGGCTACTACGTCTCCCATTTCCCATAATTTCATGCTTTCCACAACAGATTCGTTAATTTCGACATCGATTTAGTCTATGTGAATTTTTTCAGATTTTTAATGGCCAAATAAAAATTTTCATTTTCCCTTCTAAGACTTCAGTACGATATAGTCACCGAGCCATCTTCGGACGACCGAAAGTGCCAGAAAACGGCGGAAATTCACGCGAATTATCTCTTATCCAGTAAAAAATGACCCGCTGAATCGAATGAGATCATAATCAGTCCCCGTAGGACAGATAGTTTTCGAGATATCGGCACTCAAAGTCAGCTTTTCGCTTTTATTGCCAATATGAGCATTCCAGTAGGCTACTACGTCCTTCATTTCCCAAAATTTCATGATTTCCACAACAGATTCGTTAATTTTGACATCGATTTAGTCTATGTGAATTTTTCTCAGATTTTTAATAGGCCAAATAAAAATTTTCATTTTCCCATCTAAGACTTCAGTACGATATAGTCACCGAGCCATCTTCGGACGACCAAAAGTGCCAGAAAACGGCGGAAATTCACGCGAATTATCTCTTATCCAGTAAAAAATGACCCGCTGAATCGAATGAGACCATAATCAGTCCCATAGGACAGATAGTTTTCGAGATATCGGCGCTCAAAGTCAGCTTATCGCTTTTATTGCCAATAGGAGCATTCCAGTAGGCTACTACGTCTCCATTTCCCATAATTTCATGCTTTCCACAACAGATTCGTTGATTTCGACATCGATTTAGTCTATGTGAATTTTTTCAGATTTTTAATAGGCCAAATAAAAATTTTCATTTTCCCTTCTAAGACTTCAGTACGATATAGTCACCGAGCCATCTTCGGACGAACAAAAGTGCCAGAAAACGGCGGAAATTCACGCGAATTATCTCTTATCCAGTAAAAAATGACCCGCTGAATCGAATGAGACCATAATCAGTCCCATAGGACAGATAGTTTTCGAGATATCGGCGCTCAAAGTCAGCTTTTCGCTTTTATTGCCAATAGGAGCATTCCAGTAGGCTACTACGTCTCCATTTCCCAAAATTTCATGATTTCCACAACAGATTCGTTGATTTCGACATCGATTTAGTCTATGTGAATTTTTTCAGATTTTAATAGGCCAAATAAAAATTTTCATTTTCCCTTCTAAGACTTCAGTACGATATAGTCACTGAGCCATCTTCGGACGACCGAAAGTGCCAGAAAATGGCGGAAATTCACGCGAATTATCTCTTATCCAGTAAAAAATGACCCGCTGAATCGAATGAGACCATAATCAGTCCCATAGGGACAGATAGTTTTCGAGATATCGGCGCTCAAAGTCAGCTTTTCGCTTTTATTGCCAATAGGAGCATTCCAGTAGGCTACTACGTCTCCATTTCCCAAAATTT